GAGACCTCATCTCTACAATAAATCAAAAACTAGCCGGGCATGGTAGCGCACGCTTGTAGTTTCAGCTACTTGGAAGGCTGAGGCGGAAGGATCACCAGAGCCCAGCAGGTCGAGGCTGCAGTGGCTGGGAGCGGCCACTGCACTCCAGTCTGGGTGAGAGTGAGACCCCAACTCAAAAAAAAAAAAAGAAAAACAATGGAGTGAGAAAGGCTGATGGTTGGAAGGCCAAGGAGGAGGGAAGTCCACCTGGAACCCCAGCATGTGACCTTATTTGGAAAAGGGTCTTTGCAGAGGTTATTAGCTACAGATCTTGAGATGAATCTATCCTATATTTAGGGTGGGCCCTAAATTCAATGACTGGTGTCCTTGTAAGAAGAGGCAATTAGGACACAGAGAGACAGAGAAGAAGGCCATGTGATGATAGTGACAGCGATTGGCTGGCCAGATATTTTTATCTAGAGGAAAGGAAATCTCTTTTTCTTTTCTTTAAAAGTTCTACCACAGACGGCACTTGAGCCATTTGTGGGATATTCAAGTAATTCCTGATTCAGGGGCGTCAGATAAAAGTGAAACCCACAGAGTAGGAAAGTCCCCTTCCTTTTTTCCTAGCTGGACAAGGCTCTACTTACCAAAATCTGCTGGGTTATGGTAGGTTGGGCAGTTCAGGCCCAAATCTCTCAAATACGGTACAAGATTTGAGACTTTCCCCCGGTACACACATTGTCCTTGACTTAGGACATACAGCTGGAAAAAGCAAGGAGAGAAAAAGATCAACCCGGCCATCCTCAAAGCAGTGGGTGTTCTTGATCAACCAATCAGTCTCTCCTCTCCTGAGAGCTTTAAATCATCCCCCAAGACCCAAGTTAACATTCAAGGGAAAGCCACATTTAGTCAGGGAAGACACAATATCATGGGGCCAAGGACAACTTTATTATGTTGCTTGCTTTTTTTTTTTCATGCTAACCACCTACTCAAAAAAAAGAAAAGAAAAGAAAAAGAAAAAAATTGTAGCTATGCACATCTCACCCCTTTGGGACTATTTTTGCTCATACTAATATGAAAATCTAAGATTTATAAAAACATAATATTGTACAGATGATGAAATCTATCATTTAAATCTGTAAAACAGATGCCTCTCCTTTTAACAGGGGAGGTGATATGAAAACCCACGATACTAGTGACTTTCCCAGGCTCCCACGACCAGCCAACAGGGCAGAGAGAGGAAACACTGTTCAGCAATTTCTACTCCCCCAGCCACCTTAGTGGCATACAAAGGGGACCTCCCCCCAAAAACCTTAGAATTTATTTATTTTTACACGAGAGAATCTCCAAAAAAATATTTCACTGATGTCAAATGCAGTTCCTCACAACAATGCTAACTGGTACACCAAAGCCAATGGGTTCCTAGAATACTTACTTAGCAGGGGAAGCCTATACTACAAGGAGCTCACCCTCCAAAAGATAATTCCAGTATTTTGGGGGCCCTCCCCAAAATACAATCCCAAAAGACTCATAAAATGTTAACATTTAAAGTCTCTCAAAAATGAATACAGGAACTAATGGAAGATGGTGAATGCCCAAGGTTTAGTGTCACTCAGACGGACCCAGACCCGAGCTTGGTGGAGGGGATGGGGGATGGGGGGCCTGGGGCCCACATACCTGATCAAACAGCTCAAAGAGCTTGGCGCTGGGCTGGTGGATGGTGCAGATGATGGACCGGCCTCCTTGAGCGAGCCCCTTCATCAGAGAGACCACCTGGAAGCAGGAGGCACTGTCCAGGCCGCTGCAAGTGAAGGAATACCATGAGATGCCTGTAGGTACCAGGGATCAGCCACTGCCCTGGGTCATGGAAGGAGGGTAAGGGAGTCGCTGCCTGGATGCGGGGGGGCACTTAGCATCATAGACCCACAGCTGCCCCTTACCCAAGGCCAGGCTCTGCTCTACCTGTTTGTTTAAATGTCCCATGGTTGAGGGCACACAGTGGGGGCTGCGTATATTGCATTTTATTCCTGAAGAGAAGGAAGGAACACCAGCGAGTTTTGCCTCGGGGACCCAGGATGGAGAGGGTGGAGGGTCCCCAACTGTCTTGGCAGGAGGGGTCTCCAAGACTGTCCAGGCAGGCCGCTATGCCTCCTAGGAGGTCTGGTGGTCAGCACTCTCCATCCCTCACCCCACACCCCATTTAGGGGCTGGCGATGGGGTGTCACTCCACAGAGGCAGCCTTGGTATGGCCAGAGCTGGGCTTAGCTCTGGCAGATGTCTTGCTGCACACGTGTTGGTGTCTTCCAGAGTTGGCATCTGGCAGGGCCCTGGGGGGCCCTCTCTTCTCTCCTCTCCTTGCCTAGCACCTCTGGCCCTACTCCTTCTCCCATTCCCTCAATTCCCAAGTGGCAGGCTGAGGGGACAAGTGTGTGCCAGGCAGTCCCCTGAACTCTCTTCTCCCAGGGCAGTCAGCTAGCAATATTCTATTTTAAGGGTTCACTGTGGTTGCTTTTCCTGAAATATCTTTCTAGAGGCCACCTGAAGTGTAGGTCCAAGCAAACAAGATAGCCAAGCCTCTTCCTGCAGAAGACTGAAGACTGCTATCAAATTCAGCCAAACTGTGGAGAGGAGACCGAGAGGTAGGAACGAGACAATGTAAAATCTGGCTGAAATCATTTCAAGAGCAGCCAGGTGCCTGGCCTGCCTGCCCTGTCCAGGTTGACTGAAAAGGACTTGCTCGGGACTAAGGCGAAAACAACTGTGGGCAATGGAACCAGTTTTCTGGAGCAGTGTTTCCCAATGGGGCCCTGAACATAAAGGGGCATCACCCAGGAAAGCATCAGGACTCACATACTTATGGAGAGGTGGTGAACAACCGAGGCAGGACACTTTCCTGAAGGTTCTCTGAACCTCTCATGTACGGAGAAGTTCATTTCCAGAAAACACCTGAGGCCCTTTTCCTGAGGTGTCCCCCAGCCTGGCCTTCAGAGTGGCTGAGCCATGGGGAACTCGGTGTCACAGAAGAGACGTGCATTGTGAAGGGACATTTCCCTGAACCACATTCCAGTGATCAGGCTAATGCATGCCATGCACACCTGAGCACGTGGATGTCTCTGGGAGAGTGAGGGAGGGGAACTTCCAGCAGCCCTTCTGCCCAGTGATCCAGAACGAAGAGGAGAAAAGTCGGGTGAGCTGTGCCCATGCTACCCTTCAGGCTACATCAGGATGTCAGGGCCACCTGGAAGGACCACTGAACAGAGATGGGGTTCTTCCCTGCCCCTGGCCAGCCCAGATATTACCAGCTCACCTGGTGGGCTCGTCGAAGAACATGACAGGAGGGTTGTTCACCAGCTCCAGTGCAATGGCTAGGCGCTTCCGCTGGCCACCCGACAGGCTCCCTGTCCGCGTGTTGGCACAGGACAACAGACCCAGCGCTGTCAGTATTTCCTTGACCTGGGGAGCAGTGGAACCAGAGACTGTCAGGAGCTGACCGCCAAACCTCACCATCCCTCAGAGCCCACGTGGAAAGACCTAGCCTGTGGAACACATCGTGCCTGGTCCACGTGGAAGGCACCTACATCGAGGTGCATCCTAGGCTCCCAGGTGCCATTTTCAAGTCAGCATTTCTAATTGGGACCAGGGATCAGTGCTGTCCAGAGGCTGAGGAGTAGCGCCAGGGGCTGAGTTCTCACTGGGTCATTTGGCCTCTGGCTGGTGATTGAAGTCTGTTCTCACTTCCAAGCCTAGCATCGTGCCCCATCCAGAGAAGGTAACTGATGAATATTTGATGAATTGATAGATGAACGGACATGTAAGAGGATGGACGATCAGATTTCCAACAGCACAAAGGGGAGGGTCATCATTAATTGAAATAATAAATGCAAAGTGCACGTGACACTTGGCACCTTGGAAGCCTTGAATCATGGCAGCTGTTACCATGCTGTTGTCACCACTGTGCTCAGGCATTAAATGTAGCCCCTGCAGGGCCACAATAGCACAAGCTGTGCCTCCCAGGGAGGGGGGATGGAGTCACTTTTGTACTTGTAAATAGGTCTGATTTGAAAGCAAGGTCTCTGAAGTGCCAGAAAGGCAGGGAAGTGGATCTGTGGTGTCTAAAGCAGTTGCAACTCCCATGGTGGCCACACCAATGCCTCAGACTCTGGGTGCCCCCAGAGCGGCCGCACCAACACCCGGGCTCAGGGTCTTCCCACAGAGGCCACGCCAACACCCAGGCTCAGGGTACCCCACAGTGGCCAAGCCAACACCCAGGTTCTGGGTTCCCCCACAGCAGCTGTGCCAACACCCAGGCTCTGGGTCCTCCTATGGTGACCATGCCAACACCCACACTCTGGGAAGCAGGCTCTATACTAAGATACAAACAGCCCACTATCCACGGAGCCCTCCCTGCTTGCTCCAGATTATTGATCCAGTATCGACTCAGGGCACAGAAAGGTCAGCGGCTGTTCGTGCTGGCTCAGTGCCACTTTTAGCCCCAGCATCTTCTCGGAAGTAGATGCCGGGTCAGTTGCCTTCATATCCACCTTGGAGCTCCTTCCAGAATTCACACAGCCATCATCCCTGCCCTGCAGCAGCTGGCCCCTGGGGGCTGTGGCACGTGGACCCCAGGCCAGGGGTTCCTCTGGGGAGATGAGGTCATCCAAAAAGAGGAGGAACTCACAAAGAAGAAAATTTCCACTCTGAGCTTTTGAATTATTTATGCACGGTCAGTACTAAGTGCAGCTTTGGTGACAGAAAAAACCGGGGCACTGCTGCTGGACAGGCTGGGGCGGATGGCAGTGTGAGGTCAGCAGACCTGGGCTCCAACCCTCCGTGCTGATGCCCTTAACCCAGCTCCACCGCCTCCTATAGATACCCCACCTCAGAGCTGCCAGCCAGACAGAACTCTGGCCAGTCATCTGGAACAGGCTGGCGGGCAGGGTAGAGTAGGCAGGACTCTCCTGCTGGCACTTTCTCTCCCAGCGGACATGTCTGCTAGTTTTCCCAGAAAAAGGCTCTCATGACTCAGGAACCACCAGCCTACAAAGCTGCAGGACAACTGAGGGGCTCTAGCTGTTCCAGGCTCACTTGTGGGGTACTCCACAATCAGGGCACATCTCCTTCTCCCCCCACACCCTCACAGCAGGGATGCTGGAAAGAGAGGCCGCAGTGGGTGCCTTTGCCTCTACCCACTCACCTCACGAGCTGGGCTTTCCCCAGCATCAGCCCATTTTTCTCCAGTGTTCTTTCAGAAGTGGCACCATGCAGGTTGGTTTTGCTTTTAAAAACTGACCATAAAGAAGCAATGAAGCGTTCATTTATTTATATATTTTCCCTAAACAACGACAAAAAAACACCCCAAGGTGGCTTGTGGCTTGTGTGCTCCTGAGACCTCATGGTTCCCACTCTCTGGGGACAGATTCCGGCAGTCCAGGTCTCCCACAGAGACCTGATACCTGAGGAAGTAGACTCACTGGAGGGCTCTGGAGGGCTGGGCTGCTTTTCTGGGAAACAAGGAAGGCCACGAACAACACATCCCACTATTTGAACACCCCATTCTATTGTGTTTCCACGAAATGGAAACGACTTGGATCTAGGTGTGTATAGGGGCTTGGGGGGAAGTGACTCAGGCATGAAATCAGTTGTCCTTGAAACAATCCTGCCGGTGGGTCCTTGGGGAGGTGGAAGCCTTCGCTATGGCTGGGTGAAGAGGGTCAGTCCACACTGGGACTTCTGGAGGTGAGCAAGTGCAGTACACAGTACCACCTCTAGGCCCTGCAAGGATGGTCCAATCCAGCAGCAGATGAACTTGAGGAGGGACGCAAGGGTCTTGCTCCCCAGGGATGATGCAGCAGAGCCACAGAGCAGCAGAGAGGATTCTTCCTGAGTCGGTATTTTTGTCCTTGTAAACCCAGCTGAGGACAGCACTAGGCTCTCTTCTGGTCTATATCTAAGATCATGCCCACCTGCCTGGAGGACACGCTCACCCACAAGTGAAGTCTGCCAAAGGGTTCTGCGTGCTCCTCCCCGGAGATGCCTCCATCCTCCACAGAGGGGCTGTCTCCTTCTGGGCCTTTCCATTCCAGCAAGGCAGAGCAGGTTCCTGTGGGCTTCCCGACACCCTTTCCAGACTGCCAGGAGGAGAGTTAGAAGCTGAGTGTGGCAAGAAAACGACCCCAAGCCTTCTTCCTTGACAGATTCCATTAGTTCTGTCGCACTCAAGGACTTCCAGGATATCACCCAATTCAGACCGACACTGCCCCAAAGGCACGTGGGACTTGGTTTTATGTCCGTATGTTATAGACAAGCTCAGCTCAGCAAGCTAGGTGCAGTGGCTTGAGGTCATCGGATGGGTTCCAGGTGGCCAGGGTGGAGGGGTTTCCTTGCATGCTCAGTCCTGCTTCTCTACTGGACTAGCCAGGCCCCGCCTCCCTCATCTGCTCACCCTGTACGGTGAGATTCCTGAGCAGACTCTTCTCTGCCGTCAGCTCTGAACTCAGGCCTTCGGCTGGGGTCTGAGAGGCAGAACTGCCTCCCTTTCAAGTCCTTGGTCTCTCCTCCATGCCCAGGATTGTCAACTATTTATGCCATCACATCCTGGAGCCCCTGCAGCCCATTACCTAGCTTGCAGGAAACTGCCTGATACCGAAGGGGTCTTGGGACTCCCATAGGAGCTCTCTGAGAATGAACTGCGCTCTCAAAATCCTCTGAAAGCAAGGAGGCTGGAGCGAGGGAGGGGTGAACAGAAGTGAGAGGTGGTCTAAGGGGCCTAGGGAGGGAACAGCTTGACTCTCCAGGTAGAAAGCCCTGCAAGCTCTTCCTGCCTTTCCTCCTGGTCCTGAAGCAGGTGGCTTTCCTGCTCACTCATGAATGAGGCCCCAGGGCTGGGAGATGATAAAGTCGACCTCAGACGAGGGAGAGGGGAGGTCACCTTTGTTCAAGCCCAGGACCCCCGTTCTGCGGATTGAGGTCCATCTCAGACCCACCCATGAGAAACTTCTCCTGAGTCTGTGTCTGAAGCTTCGTTGTTGCTCTGCTCTAACATGTGCCTAAATCCAAGGCTTTCATTTGTTACATAAACCGTTGTATTTGTCAGCTCGATGCCCCAACAACGTATCCCAAACTGGGCAGTTTAAACAACAGAAATTTATCATATCAGAATTCTGGAGGCCAAAAGTCTGAGATCAAGATGTGGCAGGGCTGGCTCCTCTGAGGTCTCTTTCCTTGGTGTGTAGATGGTGTCTCCTCCCTGCGTCCTCACGGGGTCAACCCCCTGTGTGTGTCTGTGTCACCGGGGTCATTGGTTAACCTAACGAGCCTATTTGAACTTAATGACCTCCGTAAAGATCCCATCTCCAAATATAGTCAATTCTGAGGCACAAGGGTTAGGGCTTCAACATGTCTTTTGGGAAGATTCAGCCTACAACACTTATCTGCTATAACCTGGTGTATCGTTGGCTGTAATGAACACTCTTAGGTGTGGAAGGTGGTATGTGGTATTTGCCTGTCCAAGTTACACTGTTCAGAAAAGACCAGTGATCACAGAGGGCTCTCTCTTTTCACCCTCTATGACAAAGTCATAAGTCAAGGGCTTCTGCCTCAAAAAGGGACAGAAAAAGTCACGGTTGCTACATTCTCTACACTTTCTCTAATTGGGGCTCCACAGTCCATTTTCTTATTTTCAACCGCAGTATAAAAGAATTCCACACAAATATTCCCTGTAGCAACAAGGAGTCTGTTTGCTTCTCTGAGAAATCAGGGTCTTCCTACCTACTCGTGCATCCAACCCCTGCCCCATGACATGGGCTGGATCCCCAGAGCTCTGAAGGGTATAATGGGGGAATGATGCAAATAGAATTGCTCTGAATGTTCCCTCAGCATGTTCAACTATTAGTCTTTTTTTTTTTTGAGTTGGAGTCTCACTCTGTCACCCAGACTGGAGTGCAGTGGCCGCTTCTGGCCACCGCAGCCTCGACCTGCTGGGCTCCGGCGATCCTTCCGCCTCAGCCTTCCCAGTAGCCGGAATTACAGGCATGCGCTACCACGCCCGGCTGATTTTTTTGATTTATTGTAGAGATGAGGTCTCGCTGCCCAGGCGGGTCTGGAACCCGTGGGCGCAGGCAATCCACTCACCTCAGCCTCCCAAAGGCACGGGATTACAGGCTGAGCCACCGAGCCCTGCAACTATTAGTCTTATTAATCTCTCCATTTTAAATCAAAATATGACAAACTAAGTTGAGCCATTGACACCAACCCTGCAAATCTCACTCTCTCAGTTGCTCAACTGTGGTCCCATAAGCGTATTTGTTAAAAGACAGAGAAAATATTACGTGGGATGCCACCAAATTCTATCTTCCACTGAAAACCCCATTGGCGCTGATTAGCAAGTGAAGGGGAGGGGCGTTCCCGTAGATACCATGTACATGTAGACTGGTCACCTCCTCCTTAAGTGCGGTTTTCTGGAGTTCCTCGTTGGCTCTGACCACCTGCACCCCATCTCTGCTCCCTGGGAATTTAGGGCACCCCCAAAAAGTGATAAAGGGGATTAGAAAGTCTTAGCCTGAAAATGTGTTTATTTTCCTTTTTTAAAAAGGCTGGTTAATAACATTTAAGAGCCAAATCTCTTCTCACAAATGTGGGTGGGTGGAAGGTGGTTATTTTTACATGAATGACTAACCATCTTCATTGTTAGTGTTTTATAAAAAACAACTTAATATAAAGTGTATTAAGCACTAAAAGAGGCAGCACTCATGTCTAATCCTTCTGACCCTGTGAGCTCCAAGGTCATTGTCTTGCTATGTCCTGACTCCAGATCTGGACTCAAAGCTGTGACCAGAGTCAGCTCTCTTGGCTGCTGGCTACTGCATGCCACAGCATTCCCCGAGATGTCACCTGCCCCACATGGAAGACTAGGTGAAAAAAAGTCAGCAAACACAAGCCAGTACCCCAAAGTCCCCACACACACACTTCCAAATGAATTCTATGTACTTTCTGGACCACCTGTGGCCCCAAAACAACCCACTTACCATCTCCCTTCTGCCTTCATCCTTCTCCTGAAGCTTCAGATGTGCCGACACCTGCAGGGGACAAGGACAGTGGTGTGGAAAAGTGATGATGGCCATCAGCAGGGTGACCCTCCAGTCCTCACATTGTGCCCAGAGCTGCAGCTACCTGATCACTACTAAAATCCCAAGGAGGTCTTGGCTTTCCACTCCCCCGGTTTAAGAAAGGCAAGGTCACAGGAGAGCAGAAAGCGACTGGGATGCTTCCTGTCATCTTAGCTGAATTCTCTGCTGTCCCATGACAGAGGTTAGATGTGGACAATTTAGAGGTAAGGAAACCCAGGCATTGGGGGCATGAAGACCTGTCCAGGCCAGGACCAGTGGTTTCAGTGGTTTAGGAATTCCACAAGCCATATGTTAAATCATTGACAACTTGAAATTATCCACAAGAATTGGCAAGCACTACATATCAAGGTGATGTGTTTTATTGTTGTTTTGTTTTGCTTTTTGAGATCCCGTTCACCAGCTCGCCACTGTGCTCCTGTCCTTGGCTAGCAAAACCTGTAGAAATAACTGACCAGTGTAAGCCGTGGTACCACTCTACTGTCTTCTGTGGCCTTGGGCAAACAAAGAGCCTTGTTTCCTCATTGGCATAATAATGAGGTTAAAGCCCATCCACTTCATTAGCTAGTGAAGTTACTGTGAGGATCAGATGAGAAGCTGAGAAGCAGGGGAGGGTGGTCAGGTGGTCAAAGGCCCCAGGGTTGGACAGGGCCAGGCCTACACACCTCTGCAGGGCCGGCTGCCCCCATGTGACACTGAGCATTACTTCTGGGCTTGCCTGGTGGTTGTGAAGGTGAGTAGCAGCAGTAAAAATGCACAACCACATCTGATATGGGCTCAGGAGTCAATAATTGGTGGCCAATATCATTCCTATGCGTGACACAGAACCTGGAGTGGTAAAAGATACGACAGCCTCAAGGTAAAATATCTCTCAATAGTCTCATGAAGATCTCAAGATCTAAATCTAATTTAATCTAATTCTGAATATAGATGTATTTCACAGCAGAGTCTAGTGACAAGGTTGGGGTAGGACAGATAGGGCAGCAATCAAAAAGAAGATTCTTAAACAAGTAACCACAGGGTTAACTAAATAATTCTCTGAGCCGCTAAACCTGGGTTATTCAAGACACAGGAGCAACTCAGGAATCAACTGGGTGTGTACAAAGCTTATATTTACTACGTACGTGAAACTGTAAGCATTAGGGTGAAGAAAAGCTTCACAAGTGGCTGCTTTGCCTGGTCTATTTGTAAACTCCTTATAAGTCCTCTGTGCCCATCTGAACACCCATTCGGAGGCCAGGTAAACAATCAGGGCTCCCTGGCTCACAGTCGCCCGGGGAGGCTGAGCCCAGTGGAGGGTGTCCGTTTACCTACAGAACACTCAGTACTAGGGAGGCTGAATGAGAACAACTCCGCAGGGCCTCTCTTTCTGTTTCCCCACAAAGCAGGTTAGGGCACAGATCACATATCTGAAAACTTAACTCTCTTCTCTATGCAGGGCTAAGAATCCCTTGGAACTGCCCTCTGTGTGAAAGGTTGGGTGGCTGCCACTTTCTGACATCAAGGGGAGAAAGCTCTGCCCAATCCAAGGCAGGAATGCAGGGCAAGGCCTCTGGGGGGGAAACCAAGGTGAACACCTCAGCCAGTAAGCGAAGCTCAGAGCAGGCCAGGCTGAGGACATCCCCTAAGGTGCCAGGAGAGGCACAGAGACTAGGGGCTCAGATTTTGCAGTGGATGAGGAGAGAGCAGAAAAATAAACAGCCTTACACATAAAGCAAGCCACGATCGGCAACCAGAGTTATGAACTGACTTTCAAATCTTCTCTTAATGGGAGGTGTTGCAGTGGCTTCCACTGCCTACAATTAGGTCAGTGTGGTCTTGATCACCATGAGTTGGATCTTTTTTTTTTTTTTGAATTGGGGTCTAACTCTGTCACCCAGGTTGGAGGGTAGTGGCACCATTATAGCTCAACCTTCTGGGCTCAGGCGATCCTTCCTCCTCAGCCTCCCAAGTAGCCGGGAGTAGAGCCATGTGCTATCACACCCAGCTATATTTTTGTGTTTTTTTTTTTGTAAAGATGAGGTCTTGTTATGTTGCCCAGGCTGGTCCTGAACTCCTGGGCTCAAGTGATCCTCTTGCCTCAGTCTCCCAAAGTACTAGAATTAGAGCATGAGCCACCGCACCTGGCTGGGTTGAGACTTTTTAAAAAAATGGCTCTGGAACTCCAGAGTTACAGCTCTTATTTGGGTTATGGTCTGTCCAAAGAGCACAACCAGCTGTTCAAGAAAACCACGTATAAGACACCACTTGGACACTTCTGTGGCCCTAAGAGGTGAAGGTATTTTTAAACTCCCCCAAATACTAGACTTATCTACAGAGGACCTAAGTGACGACACTATGGGAAGACTTATTAGAAAGAAGGGAGAAGAAACGTGACCAAGTTGTCATCACAATGAGAACTGATGGAGCACTGAGGGTATGTTGAGATTTGACCCCCACCTTCCCTGCATTCTCCCATTTAATATTCACACCAGCTCTGTATGGTCTTGCAGGTGAGGAAACTGAAGCTGTAGAAGGTAAAGCAATTGCATGCGAGGAAGCTGAGCTAGCAGTTAGATGCTCCTTTGGAGTCAAAGAGGTCTGCCTCTGAGTCCCCATGTGGCTGTCAGCAGCCCTGTGACTCTGGGCTCATTGCTTAACTCTCAGAGGCTCCAATTCATACCCACTTTCCCGAGATGATGTGTCTGGTGACTGTGTAGCTATATGCATGCGAGACCTGGGACCTAGTAGGTGCCCAGCAATTGCTGGTGTCATTCCCTTCACTCAGCAAACAGGTGAGTCAGAAAATGAGATGAGTCCCTCAGGGGCCTGATCAAGGCACCAGGTGAGCTGGGACTTGGACCTAACACACTGAATGACTCAAGAATGGCTGACGGGAAGGAAAGTCCCTCAGCCTGCAGGGAACTAGGATGGCAGTTGCCCTGAAAATGGTCACCCATGGCGGCTGGGTCCATAACCTTCTCAAAAACTTGACCCAGACTTTGCCAAACAAGGTCTGTTAGAACTCACAGTCTTAGGGCTTTGTTTTCAATGAAACTGTCCTAACAGCAAGCTGGGAGGGTGCTGATCATGTGCAGGTCACCCAACAGAGCCCCCAGCCCACGTGTGTCTGGGTACTTGGCAAATGCTCTAAACTAACTGTGGGGGCTGGAGGGCAGTCAGGTGGCCAGGGCACAGGTTAGGGGGCGAGGGCAGCTCACCATCATGGCCTCCTGCACGGTGAGGTGTGGCAGCAACATGTCGTCCTGCATGATGTAGCAGGACACCTTCCGGAAGCAGCGCAGGTCCCGTGGCATGCCGTTGATGAGGACTGCCCCTTTCATGCCCGTCTCCCTGAAGGGACAAGGATAGGGAAGCCATCAGCCTAGCTCCTTCTGCCCCTCTGCCTCAGGGCTCGGGGAGGGGAGCCAGAGAGGGAGGCTGCCCTCCCAGTAGGGTCCCAGCTGAACCCCCAGAGGCAGAAAGGAATTTGAGACCCTGAATAGCACCACAGCAATCTGGAGTAAGAAATTACACAAAGAGAGCGCCAGCAGGGAAGAAGAAGTCGAGTGCCAGGTCTCTGTGGAATGGCGAAAAGCGGGGAGAGGGGAACCAAAAACACCCCCGAGATTTATTTTTAAAATACTGTGTATTTATTCTTACATGTTTAAACTTCAGTCACCTTCAGAGCACTCTCCATCTGCTGAAATACACCTATCGAGACACTTTTCCCACTGCTCAAACAGTTTTTGTACTTGTCAATTTTGATGTCTTTTAGTGCTTCTGCTGTTTATGTTTCACCTCTTCCATATGGACAAAATGTTTCCCTTTGAGGACATTTTCATTTGGGGAAACAAAAAAAGTCGCTCAGGTGAGATGGGGCAAACAGAATAGGTGGGGTACGGAGGTCATGCTGTTTTTGGTCAAAAATTGCTGAACACTCAGCATGGTGTGGGCAGGTGCACTCGTAAATCACCCATCATGAAATGAGCGAATGCATTGAAAGAATCTCCAAAAAAATTCACTGAAGCCAAATGCAACCTCTCACAACAACCCTAGCTGGTATGCTGATGGATGCCTAAAACAATTAACTAGCAGGAGAAGCCTGTACTACAGGGAGGGTGCCCTCCAAAAGATAATTCCAGGGTTTTTGGGGGGTCCTCCCTTGTATTTATACCATCAATGACTGAACTTTCTTTGCCTACTGAACAAAGATATACAGGGATGCTCCTATGTGCAGCCAAGAGGCTGAATGTACTCCCAAGCTTCGCAGGGGTTTGTAAGATTGGCTATTCTTATAGCCCAGGCTACACACACTGCCCAAGGCCAGAGACTCCCACAGGGAGGACAGGGAAGGAACACCAGCAGAGAAAGGGGTCTGGGCCTCGAACCCGCTCAGTCAGATGGATGATCCTTCTCCACTGGGGAGAATTCTCTCTGACCATAGGTAGGCAGGTGGAGAGCCTCCCAGGAGTTCACATGAGGGAGGCATGGCCTCACCCGGAATAGTTGTTAGCTCACTCACAGATCTGTGCATCTCTACTGCCTGCTATTCCTCCAGGTGCATCAGAGCATCCTGGGCACTGGTGCATGCCACAGGTAGACCACCTTCACATGCTTCTAAAGCTCTGCCTTCTAGATGCTAACAGAACAGAAACAGAAGAGAGTCCGCGGAGACTAATAAACTCATGCCTAGTTTCCAGTTTTACCCAGCTGGTTACTGTGGGGCAGGTTTCTTCTCCCATCTAGGTGATGGGCTGAGATCAACTGGCTTCCCCTGGGCTGCCTAAAAGTCCAACTGTCCTCAGCTGCCTCTGCCCCTTCAGGACACTCAGCTCGACTGCCTCTGCCCCTCCAGAACACTCGGCACCTTCAGGGCTGCCCAGAGCTGTAGGTGACATGCTGAAAAACAGTGGCCCCCATGGGAAACACTCTGCTCTCTTCTGATCCTCCCATGCCTCTGGATGTTGAGAATTTGGCTTTAACCCTTGAATGTGACTGTAACAGGCAGGAATTTGTCAGAAGTGAGATTTCTTAAAAGTCGTAATTTCTGGCATTAAGTAGTAATTCAGAAGCTCTAAGGAAAAGGATGACTTTGTCGTTTTCAGGAAATAAAATTATTATAACCATTTGCTAAAGTGGAACCTGTGAGACTTGAAAAGAACTGGGTTTAAGGGAGTATTTTGTAAACACTTCTAATGATTCAGTCTTCTTCTCATTCACGAATGAATGACATTGACCATGACATTGAGGACTGTGATCTCTTACTCCTAGATAGCTACCATCACCACAAGCCCCAGCCACACAGTGCTCATTCTCTTCTGAAAATGCCCTGTCTCACTTTTGACTTTCATTCACACTGTTCTCTGAGTTCTCCTGCCGTCCCTCTGCCCAACCTTGACCTTCCTACTTCTTCTGGTCCCTGGGTCAGGTCAGCCAAAGGCTGAGCTCACCCAGGGAGCCACCAGGTCCACTGAGCCCGGAACCTGTCTCCCCTGAGCACCCACTCTCCCTCCTTCATGCGACCCTCGGCAGGTTCAGCCTTTCAACATCATCATCTTTCTTGGGTCCTGTTTCCTCACAGCTTCCAACGTGTCTTGATACTGAAACCTACCCCATGTTTCACTGGAGCCTGTGTGTGCAGAACCTTAGGAAGCTGCAGCTGTAGACCCCAGCTCAGAGTGACAGGGGAACTGAGGTAGCTCCATTGTTCATATTGCTAGCCCGACTCCTGGGTGAGGATTTTGCTCCTGAGACGGGTCTGCTCGTCTATATCCAGCCTCTGCTCACCTGTATCTGGGGCCTACTCACCTGTATCCCGCCAGGATATTCATGAGCGTGGATTTCCCAGCCCCAGAAGGTCCCATGATGGCCACCAGCTCGCCACTGTTGAACTTCCCAGAAATCCCCTTCAGAAGGGTCTTGTATCCTGTAAAAAGCAGATCATATTCATTTTCTAACCAGCACAGGGTTCATTTTGCTTTAATCCCAGTGCAGCAAATATGCAAACACACAAGTATGCTTGACTAAAGAACTAAAGCCAAAGGCAACCTCAATCACACCATGGAATAAAACCCTGCCTTCCAGGTAAGGGCATGAATGCCGTGTCTTTTAATTCCTACATCCTCCATTGTAACTACATAGCATAACAATGAATATAATTATTAGTAAGTGCATAATGCTTTAGAGTTTACAAAGCATTTCCCATTCATTTTCTAGGCTATGAGGACTCCACCATTTCCGTTGAGGAATGAGGCAGTGACATCTGGTGGGCCGGTGACCTGCCAGGCCCTGCAGCCGTTTGAGCAGAGCCTGCCCGCTGCTCCACTACCCCAGGCTGCTCCTCCCTGGTACACACGTGCCTGCATTAATTAAATGATTCTATATTTCATTTACAAATTATTTATACTTTGTATGCTTATAAAAAGTATAAATTATTTATATATAATTTATATGTAATCACTTTATAATTAAATAATCAATACATTATTAACTCCTTAATTAATAATTAAGAGAGTTTACCATTTTGCAGTCACATCAAATTGCTTTGGAAATTCTGCCAAGTCTCCATCTGAGAGCTTTAAGCAAGGGAAAGAGTGACACATCCCAAGGAAAGCCATATCAATTTTTGTTTCAAGTAGACTGTTTGAAGGTGCCACAAAGAATGAAATAGAAGCGAGTGGATTCGTGGATAGTGACTCCCAGCTCAGGGTCATCTCTTGGTACAGCGTCGGATCAGAATGAACCCTTAGGGGATCAAGAATCATGAGAGGACGACAATCTTGGCTCGCACAAGCGATGTTTCAAGTACCTAACGAGACATGGACCTGTGGGGTCCTTGGCCCAGTTCCTTGTTTTAGGCTCTCCCCAGTCACTGGCACCCAAACCTGTGTGTTTGCGAGAGCACGGCCCAGGGGACTTCTCTCCCTGCTGTCTTCCTGTCTTTCACAGACGGGACACGGGAACATGCCAACCTGTCACCAGGGGCTGCCTTAATTTGGACAGGGAGTCCCTGAGGCCTTGTTTAAGCGAGGCACAGAGAAGCGGAAGCAAGTCGGGAAGCTGCGGCCCTGAGATTCCGACTCATTAAGGAGCAGAGGGTAGCTGTCGCCCCAGGGAGGACCAGGAGAGTCATCCCAGTGGGAAAAGAGGCACAGGAACAAAGGGTGGGAACCAGGAGAGCAGCTCAGAATTGCAGATGAGTCCAGCTCCTACCATTGGGATGCGGATGATGATGATTAGCAAACATGTGGCCCTTGAGAGCAAAAAAGCTGAGTTGGGGTGGGGCAGGCCAGGAACCTTCATGCTTGTCTGCTGTAGCCCCTCAGTGGACAGATGGGCAGAAGAGCTGAGGTCAGCAGAGGGCCTTCCCCACAAGGCAAGTTCCCAGTACGAGGGAGTGCTGTGGCTTGGGGCCAGGTGCTGTGGAGACCCTGCCCCCCTGGAGACCTGCATGACATCACCGAGGGAGCACCAAATACCAGGTGCCTGCTCATCACAGCTCCTCATCGATTCAGGTTGGAAGTGGGTTGCTCCCTAGCAAACCCTCCTTTAAACTGTTCCTTCTCAAAGTTCTGAGGTTGCATGGTCACTGAGCTGACCACCAGCATAGTCAGACTCATGACGCCTTGGGCCCTGAGAAGGCCCCTTTCCTTCATCCTAGGGCAGGGCCCACCCATCCTGCTGGGAACAGCCTCAGGTCTCTCTGCTTCGACAGGGCCTGGGGCTGGCCCTCGACATTGAGGTCCATCTGGGGCACTAGGTGACACACAGGCTGGAGGAAGTGCACATAGGCTGTGATGTCCACCACCAGGACCCCAGGATCAGGATAGTAAGCAGAGGCCAGGAGCACTTGGCCCCCTCATGGGAAAAGCCAGGCAAGCGGTCTAGACTGGACTTACTGTTTAGAACCACAAGACTGGCATTGTGAGGTCTGAGGAACTGTTACCCATCCAAGGACAGCAGAGAGTGCATGTGACTGTGGCTGCAAAGGGTTCTCTCCACGGGGGCCTCACAGAGTCCAGCAATTGACTCAGGGCTGCACTTCCCTAATGTTAGAAACCTGCTTTTCTTTAAAAACAAAACAAAACATGCCTTTGGGATTGAAGAATCTTTTTTTGTTGTTGTTTTGCTTTTTTGAGTTGGAGTCTCATTCTGTTGCCCAGGCTGGAGTGCAGTGGCACGCTCATGGTCACCACAGCCTCGGCCTGCTGGGTTTGGGCAATCCTTCTGCCTCAGCCTTCCAAGTAGCTGGAACTACAGGTGTGCACTACCATGCCAGGCTTATTTTTTGACTTATTGTAGAGACGAGGACTCACTCAGTTGGCCAGGGTGGTCTCAAGCCACCAAGCTCAGGCAATCCTTTCACCTCAGTCTCCCAAAGTGCTAGGATTACAGACTTGAGCCACCATGCCCAGTCTGGGATTGAAGAATCTTAAAAGTGGCTCTGGAAACAAAGTCCCGTGAATATCCATGTGTCTGGCTCTGGGACAGCAGGTGTGCAAGGGCGGCCTGTGTGTTAGAAGCGGGTCCCTACACAAGGCTGGCTGGCATAGTTGGGTTCCATGAGCACTGACACACATCTCTCTCTGTTTATGTAAGGAAGTCATTCTTCCCTGCAAAGCCTCGAGCTGCCTCCCCTTCTGGAAACACAAAATGGAGATGGGACCTGCCCTACTTTCCCGCCTGTGGGCTCTGCTCAGTCCATTTCTCAGCAGAATGGACATGCCATCTGTCTTCCTGTCCTGGTGGGCTCTTGTTCACATGGTGCCTTGTCCTGTGCTGTGGTAGTGGGGACAGTGAGAACCCAGAGGATAACAGGGACAGAAATCACCCACGAGCCAGGGCCAATGAAGGTCCATCAGTCACATGTGGGTGCTTGAGTTCAATCTTTAAAACAGCCAGATCTAAGCCCAGACCAGAACCCAGACAGAACCAAACAGAAACAGACCAGAGCCAGACCAGAAGCCAGACAGAGTCCAGACCAGAGCCCAGACGGAAGCAGACATAGCCCAGACCAGAATCAGAACCCAGAGAGAAGCCTAACAGAACTCAGACCAGAATCCAGATGGATCCCAGATAGAAACTAGACAGAATCCAGACCAGAGCTCAGACAGAACCCAGATCAGAACATAGACCAGAGTCTAGACAGAGCCCAGGTCAGAATCTAGACCAGAACCAGACAGAACACAGACAGAATCACGGCCAGAAACTTGGCCAGAACCCAGATCATAATCCAGATAGAAACAGACAGAATCCATACCAGAACCCAGACAGACTCCAGATCAGAACCAGACAAAACAGAATCCAGGGCAGAACCCAGATGAAAACCGCAGATCAGAATCCACAGGAGAGCCAGGCCAGGCCAGGTCAAGTTCTCCAGGACCCAGTGGGAGGCACGACCCACCCTCCATGACTCTCACCCGCTATGCCCCCCTTCCCTGCACTAACCCACCGTCTTCATCACTTGCTGTGCTCTCTCTCTGTGCATTGCCTGTTAAGAAAAAATGACGCCACTTGATACCTCTTAGGAGACATAACCCATAGTCAATTAATCAAAACCAAAAGGCCACGAATTCAACTAGGCCCCTCTGAGAAATGGAAAGAAGCAAGAGGCGAGGGGCACCGGGAGACAGATGGGAGAGTGTGGTCCGAGAGAGCTGAGGGTGCCAGACACCAGATCAGTAATCAATTCCCTTAGCAACACAGGCAGGCTAGTTTCTTCTCAGGGTTCCTCATGTCAGCATCAGTAACTGAATAAGATGACTTCTATTGTCCTCTTAATTACTCTAGGAAGGAAACAAGCTCTCCATGTGCCTGTGAGAACGCTTACAGTAAATCCTCTACGTATGAATGGGTTCCATGCTGAGAGTGCCTTAAGTTCAACAAAGTTAGCCTAGGTACCCAGCTAACACAATCATCTATAGAGTACTACTTTACTGTAATAGGCTTAGAATACTTTTCACACAAATAATACATTTTTTAAAAACACAAAAAAGGCAAAAAATAAAACAAACACAAAAAACTAAAAAAATCATTTACATGATTGGACATGTGAATGCAGTTTTGCATCTTTGAAAGCTCACAATTTGATGGTTTGTATGTAGGGTACTTGCTGTATTTCTTCATGTAAAATGTGGGCGACTCAGCCACAGGCATTACTAGCCATGGGCATCACGAGAGGGAGGACAGAGATGGGAGGGCGACCAAAACATGCTCCAAATGTGGCAGTAGTGGCCTGTTCTGGAGCCACAGCCCTAAGTGGTCGAAGAGGAACCAACACCTTGGGATACTCCCAAGACAACCCACCAAGCCATCTCCATCCCTTCTGAAGTTTGTTTCCCACGATCACATGTGCTTGGGAGAGATGGGGCTGATGGGCTGGTCTTCTGAAACTATTCACTATTAAAGTAACAAAGGAAGAACCTTGATCCTAAGCCCCTCAAATGTCCTGAGCCCTGATTGGCTCCATCTTGGTTGAATTTCATATTGTAATACAAAACAAATCCACTGTCAAATAAGAACCGAGAGCAAACCCACTTATCCAGGCTGAAGAGAGCCCTGCCTGGAATGGAAAAGCCCATGGATGCACCTCTCTCACCTTGGCGAGAGGCAAGCCATGCATCACACTAGGTGGGCCATGCTAAGGGGTAACAAGTGCCTGCTGGACTGACTGCAAAAGTGGAGAAAAAAGACTCCAGACCATCCCTGTCCACTGTCCTGTGTCACACACAGCCCTGGTGAGCGGACCAGAGGTGCACATCCAGGAAGTCTGAGAGGTCAGCAGTCCTTAGGCAGTCCCTGCAGTGTGTTTGAGTGTATCAGCTTCCCAGGTCTGCCACAACAAAGCACCACAGTACAGGTGGCTTATCCACTCACAGTTAAAAAGGTCAGAAGTCCCAAGTCAAGGTGCCCCCAGGGCCATGCTCT